TGGATGGATGGATGGATGGATGGATGGATGGGTAGATAGATGAATGCATGCATGTATGGATGGACGAACAGACGTATGAATGAGTAGATGGATGGATGAATGCATGCATGTATGGATGGACGAACAGACGTATGGATGGGTAGATGGATGGATGAATGCATGCATGTATGGATGGACGAACAGACGTATGAATGGGTAGATGGATGGATGAATGCATGCATGTATGGATGGACGAACAGACGTATGGATGGGTAGATGGATGGATGAATGCATGCATGTATGGATGGATGAAAGGACGTATGGATGATTAATTAGCGAGCACTGGCAGAACATTAGAGAAGTTTTAGAGAACACAATAACGTGTAGTTTCCAATGAATCACATCCCTTCATTTGAATATTTGGATTTACGATTCACCCCACTTGTTTGTTGTTCAAAAGGGAGGCAAACGAATTCCATACACCTCGTCACGTGGTCAAGCAAAATCAACCAATGATGGCTCGCCATATCTCGTACCCACTCCTTTCGCTGGCCTCACTTCAGACCAACTACCTTTAAGGAATCGAAGTGGTTACGAGAACGAAGAACGAAGTTGCTCCATGGAAAGCGTCTACTCACAGGACTCTGACCCTGTTAACGTTAACCCTGCTATCAAGAAATCACCTCAAGAAAGTCGTTCAATCCCAACGATTAAGGTGACTTCCGGAACAAGCTCGGAAACCACTCCGAATGAAACGGACGAATCACGAAGATCGAGCGAAGAACAACGAGAAAGAAAACCCACTCAGTTTACTAGGGAGAGCGAGAGTTCAGCTTGATATTCATCAAAGAAACAGTAAATGACCATTAATGTGCCTAGATGTCCCTGATGTGCCAGCATGGGCCTAAAAGTGCCATTCATTTTTAGTCTGTAATTTATGAGCTGTAATTGCCCTATTTCACTATGATGTCACTGCTTGTTTATGTGGGGGATTCAACAAAATTTGCTCCTAGCGAAACAGTTTAATCTAAAATGGGCTTTTTTTCAGATATAATATGTGTTAATATGTACTAAAAAAATATTCTGAGCGTTTGCTGGCTATTCTACTTCTCTTCATGGATTGATACGGGTTTTAGAACAATTTTCGGTGAATTTGCGTTGRTTTGACCCCCTCCGACGACCATGATCCTTTGCGTTTATAGGGCAATTGTTACATGATTCAGGTTGCAAGCAAGAGATTAGGTCTCAGTCAGCGGTGGCTTCGTTTTACGCATGCGCTGTGATAACGTTGTTGAAGTTTGGACTTGGTTCCAGAATTGGCGGGAAAATAGGGAACGCAAATGAATATTTTAATTTCAAAATACAACGGAAATTTTGAAGAAAAAAAAAAGCTTTAGAAGTTATACAGTTAGAAAAGAAACTCATACGACTAATTTATTTTCCAACATTATAGTCAGTGTTTTAAGTTATTACTTAAAATAAAATGAAATAGGCCGACCCATAGAGCATGGTCTCATGGATTAGTCTGGCATCTTTCCGTTTCTCGAGGTCTTGATTCTATATTTGGTTCTATAAATCTCTTGAAGAATTTATAAATAGATATTTCTAAAAGGTATGACATACACTAAACTTGAAGTACAACTGATTTTCAGCATAAATTTCAGCTGTATAATGTCTTTAATCAAAAAGGAAAAAAAAGAGAAAGAAACAGAAAAAGGAAGAGTAAATAAGTAAAAAAAGAATCGTGCCGTAAAACAGATTTCAAAAGTATATTTATTAATATCTTCCAAGAGTGTTTTTTAACTCGTGTTTTCAAAGAAGAGATTTCATTTGCATATAGAACTCTCCCGCGAAGCGTGGATTTTTTTAATACTAAATACAATAACACAATAGAATGGAATATTGAAACAGCGTCGTGCAGTGAAAGCCAACCAATTTGAGTACAATTTACAAGTTTTCTGTTCGTCAAAACATAGTTTTTGCGGGAAAATGGCAAGGGATCATACGGCTGCAATCGTTATATCATCGCTTCTTTTTGGCATTTTCCTTATTGTTTGGGTTCTGACGTTATATTTTTGCAAATGTCGAAAGCCTAAGACACAAGAGCTGCAAACAAACCTCACACGTAGATCATACAGCCCTGGCGAAGAAGAACGAGAAGCTATGATTAGAAGATCTCTGAGAGAAAAGAAGAAGAATGAATCGAAAACTGAGGAGGATGTGTAGATCTTTAACTATGTAAGCCCACTGTTTTCTGGGCGAAATGCTAAATTACTCAGTTATTTAAGGACGCGGTACTCTTTCATGCATTTTGTTTACGTATCCCTGCTAAATCTCTATTTTTATGTAAGATTTCAAGTCAAATTTACTAAGTTATTCCAGCTTTAAAATTACACTTTTTTTACTATTATATTATAAGCACTTTTAATTAACAGAATTCGAATTCGGCGGCAAATTCACAAATGTATTCTTCATGAATCCTTTCTAGTGTATTCATTTTGACTAGAAGCCAAAACATAAAATCCAGTAACGTATTACCGGTACAGTAACAAAACATACTTCGACTCGAATTTCTAATTCACGTGGTTTTGAATCATTTTTTTATCATTGATTTTACATTTAGGAATAAAAGTGAAAGAGAGCGATTAAAAGGCATAAGAAATATTTTGTATTCAAGCATAGTGTTATGCTCGTGGTTCACGCCATTCGTATATTCTTTCAGACACGACAGCAAAAAGCTATACTATTTTGTTCGACTCTACCTGACCAATGAAAGCTTATTTTTTTTAGTACTTCAAAGTTCAATGCAAACAAACTCTTAAACACGGACGCAAGAAAGTTGGCTTTAATGTTTAGTTATCACGCCATTCTATGAGTCGATCAATCAGTGTTTTTCATACGCTAATGTTAGTAATTATTTCAGATGTTGTATGCAAACTCATTTTGTTTTTAATAATTTAACCAGCTTTGTGTTCATTATTCGCCTCCTATTTCGAGATTTTCAAGCCCTCAGGCTTTAGAAACCAAGGCAAAAGAATTTGCTTTTTTTGTTTAAAGATTCAACAGTCTTTTTCTTAAGCCTACATAGATTTGTCGAAGATCATAATTATAATAAAAATTCAATCGCGTTTTAAATATAACATTTTCATAAGAGAATTGTTTTTGTTCCATTCAAAACAGTAGTTAACTTTTTTTTCCATTTCGAGCTTGATGGAACTCTTTTTATTTCATCAACTTCTTGTACAAAGAACGCTTTATACAGTATTATTTATCAATTGAGAAGGTTTTCTATCAAATGTTGCTCATTATAAATGCGAACGGTCTATATATAGYTATTAACCGGGTTAATAACTATATATTGACCTCGCATTTATAATGAGGGTTATAACAAAAATAAAGCCTTGTGAATAACAAAGAAAACCGTGTCAATTGAGAAATAATAAGGTTTTTCGATTTAGCATCTTTTTCAACATTTTGGCAATATCATATTGAGTATAAGAAACACAAGTGTGGAAGGAATGGAAACTTGCATTGCGACACAGTTGCATGGAGCATTGCAGCGTGTAACCTACAGCGCAATTTGAAAAATGTTACGAGATAAGTTGCAGCAATCGTTGCGAAAAGTAGAATTCGTTTCTACTTTCGGCAACGATTGCGTCTCCGTTGCAGCGTGTAGACACTCTTGCAATTTGTGTCGCAATGCTGTTGCAAGACAAGTTGCAGAGTAAATTGCTGCGTATAATTGAGCATGAGAAGTCTGTTGACCGATGTTAAATCAAACACATCTAACGGTCTTACTCCTTAGTATCAGTAATGAAAAGCTGAACCATGCGCATGCTCTGTATAGGAAACACAACAGATTCGAGCCAGCATTTCTTCTTGTTAGCTCTCACTTTCTCAAATCATGCGCAGAGAAAAAATGTTTTAAAAAAATCGTAAAAATAAATACAACACGCTAAATACGTAACATCAACATCGTTTTTTTTGCAGATATTTTAATACTGTGTTGTGTGGCCAGGGCAAAGGAAGAAAATAATTTTACTGATGATGGATATAAATAATGGACAACAAGATGACGATGAATGAACTATAACCCTTTGCCGTGCTGGATATCTTCAAAGCAGCGAAGTTTGATGCATTTGACACATTTGTTTATTAGCTCAGTTCTTTTGATAAAGTTGAGTCATCCAGCATGGCGTCTCTAAGGGACTAGTTTTGAAAAGAATTAGTGTTTCGGACTTATTTATCGGGTACTAAGGCCCCTTCCACACGTATCCGCAAATTTTTTTTTACGGATACGGGTTGTGTCCACACGTGTCCGCAAATTTTTGTGTCCGTATCCGCAAATTTTACGAAAACGGATACGTGTGGACGGTGAAAACGATTCGAATACGCTGCGTGTGGACGCAAACATTTTCGTATCCTCAAAAAATAATTTGCGGATACGTGTGGACGGGGCCTAAAGTAAGAGTTAAACGAAAAGGGAGGGAAGTAGAATATGATGAACATATACTATATTGAACATTTTTTATAAAGCGAATTTAAAGAGAGCAACTTAACAAACAGACATCAGTTTTTTATGTGTCTGTCCTCTTATTGACGATAAATTGCGGCTACACCTCGTGAATCCACACTACTTTGACAATGTGATGACAAAATTTATTGTCAATAAGAGGACAGACACATAAAAAACTGATGTCTATTTGTTTTTTACAATAACGTACAAAAACGATAAAAGCTTCTCATTTTCAGCGATCAAAACAACCAACGGAAAGAGCGCGCAATCGTTGACGTCAGCTTTATCTGTATGTCCTCTTATTGATGATAAAAAATAACCAATCAGCGCGCGAGAAATTTGTAAGTTATTGTAAAAAAGGCTTGTTGGGTATGAGTTCTCTAGAGAGGTCTGATTGTTTATGAGCTTCTCCGAACTCGAGATCAAGCAAAATGAGCCAATCACCAAAGTTTTTGTATTAACTCCGTAGTCTAAATAATGTTTCGTCAGTTCAAACCACATACACTTGAGATACCTTTCTTCATGGGTAAATAGTAATGATTTTATCAGTTCTTAGGGGACATGTTATTAGGTAAGAGGGCAGTCATAGCCGCCATGTTGGTTGACGATCCGATCGATAACAAAGCATTCCTTTATAGCAACCAACATGGCAACTGTTTTATTGTTATTTATATCTCAAGGGATTTTGAGTCGTGTGGTTGCACCCCAAGAATTGGTCTGAGTAAAAAAACTTTTGTATAATTATTCAAACTAACAAGAGAAAGGAATGAAATTAATTTTTAGTACTATGTATAATGCTTATTTTTTTACGGGCCAGCTAAAATCAATCTAATATTAGCGGCCAAAGTTGAGGGAAAAAACTGAGTTGAGTTGGCATGCAGTAACTCGTTTCTTATTTGCAGCAACTCGTCTAACATGCAGCAACTCGTTTCTTATTTGCAGCAACTCGTCTAACATGCAGCAACTCGTTTCTTATTTGTAGCAACTCTTCTAACATACAGCAACTCGTTTCTTATTTGCAGCAACTCGTCAAAC